CACACACACACACACACACACACACACACACACGAAAGGTCATGTGAGGACAAGTGGCTGCGTGCTCTGAAAGAGAGCTTTCAACAAAGACTGTACCAGAATCTTGATCTTGGACTTTCCAACCTCTAGGAACTGTGAGAAAATTCTATTATTTAAGTCACCCAGACTATGATATTTTGTTATGGCAGTTTGAGCATATTAAGACAGTGACAATAGCTTTTATCTGTGTTATATTTTGCCAATATTTCCTTCTAATTTGTCATTTGTCTTTTGACTTTCTTCTGGTATTTTTTCTTCCATGCAAAAGTTTTGTTTTTAATGTAGTCAAGGTAGAAGTATAACAATAAATTTCGCAGATAATTTTGGATATTGTTCTCTGATTCTACACCAAAACTCAACAAGTGATAGTTTCTTAAGCATTAGTGGCTTTGTAGAATATTAAAATATATTACTGAACTTTTCATACTGTGACATTAACTCCATTGGTTTATCTTGAATTTTGAATGAATTTTTTAAAACCTATGCATGATGTTGTAGCATCATACATTAGTGATTTGGAAAATATTGGTTCACTAAATTATACTATCTTATGTATCACTAAGACATATAAGATCTTTCCAAATGTTGACAGATTTTATCACACATCAAAAAATCATGTTAGTTAAAACACACCTATCTCATCACAAGAGTTTTTAAGTATTGGGAAGCTGTCAAGCTCATGGTGGCAGATACAAGCCTCTAAAAAATTTAAAACTCTGTTTCTTTAAGGATATTTTAAATTCTTTTCTTTTTTTAAATTAAATTTTATTGGGGTGACAATGGTTAGTAAAATTACATAGGTTTCAAGTGTATAATTCTATAATACATCATCTATATATCACATTGTGTGCTAACCACCCAGAGTCAGTTCTCCTTCCATCGCCATATATTCATTTTTAATTCTTAAGTGATACATAAGATAGTATAATTTAGTGAACCAATATTTCCCAAATCACTAATGTACGATGCTACAACATCATGCATAGGTTTTAAAAATCTATTGTGTGTGTGTTTTGCCATTTTACCTAGCAGTGCTTTTTTATCATCAGTGCATATGTCAACAGTAAAAAAGGCAAATAAGGCCTTAGTATTATTATTATTATGAATGTAGTTTCGACCCACAGACCCCATTAAAGGATCTCAGGGACCCCGCAGTGGTCTGCGGATCACACTTTGAGTACCACTGCTCTACAGGTAGCCTAAATCCTTCAAACTGTTATTTTCAATTCAGCTCTAACTTGGGGGGGGGGCGGGGAGAATTTTAATTTAGAGATGTGTCTAGGCCTGAAAAGCATAATACAGCCCTCCTTCTTCCTACATACACCTAGGATGGTTTTCCTTGGCTCCTTTGTTATTACTTGTTAAGGGTAAATAGTTACTTGTACTTCTCCAAGAGAAGGGCATTAACTGCTTAACAAATATGGGAGGGGTTGGGAGTTGTTGATAAGGAAGGAACAGGGTCAGATGTTGCTGCCAACCTCTGATCAAAGAGAGAGAACTTATCTCTGAAGTGATCAAGTCAGGAAGAAAGGCTCCAACCTGCAGAGATGACGCATGCATCTGTTCCATGGAAAACAGCACATCTGTTTGTGGGGCAGAGGACGGTGGAGAGAGGTCTACCCAAGGCTTTCTTTCCTGGAATCCCCTCACTCCCTCACACACACTCACTCCTCTTAGCTTGATGTGTGTTGATCAATTGCTTAGGAACTAACTGGAGACCCACTCTGCCCTTCCACAAACAGGGGCAAGCTAACCCCAGAAACATGGTGACACCCCACTGTTTGACTCTCAGATCATCAAAGGTCTTGGAGGACATTCAGGGTGGGGCAAAGAGGTGCTGAGGAAATGCAGGAATTCTCACGCCTGCCCTGCCGGTTGCTGTGCCGTGCCTCCACTTCTCAGGAGGGCCCTTTGACTACCTGTGCTAAAGCTTTTAAAGTTAGATCCAGCAGTTCCACTCCTAAAGATTTATCCTCAACAGTCAGATGTGCACAAATGTGTATCTCTAAGGGTATTCATCAAGTTTTTATAATAGAGTTGGAAACAGTCTGAAAGAAAAATAACCACAAGAAGAAACTGGTTAAATAAACAGTGGTACTGCCCCACGATGTTTGGAACAGTGGTTTCCAAAATGAGGTCTGCAGACTCTGGAAGGTCACTGAGACCCTTCCCTGGGGTTCACAAGCTCTAAACTTTTCATAATAATGCTAAGACATTATTTAGCTTTTTCACTGTCTTGATCTTTGCACCAATGGTGCAAAAACAATAAAGGGCAAAACTGCTGGTGAAATGGCACAGATCAGCACTGGCACCAAACTGCACTAAAAGTTATTTTATTCTTTATTGCCAAGCACCCGCAGAAAAAAATCCCAACAGTTTCACTTAAGAATGTTCTCGATGAAGCAGTAGAAAGTATTTTTATTTATTTTTTTTTTGAAACTCCATCCCACGGTTTCGTTTTCATCACCCAAATTAGTGCAAGGCCCAAAGTATGACTTCAGTACTTAACTGAATTAATGTATCCATAAACGGTTTGTATTGTACTCTGCTTTGTAAACTTTTCGAGTCCGGTGTAAAGCTTATGCTATAAAGGGAGGAGGTTACCACTGCTGCTCTAGGGGGCAGCCTCAGGGCTTGGAGAGGTCTTTGCGCAGCGGTACCTTAAACCTCACAACAGCTCTGCGGGGTGTATATTGTTATCTAAATTTGGTCCACAGCTAGGTTCTCAGATGGCTTCCCCCTCTACACTTCCTCGGAGGGAGGGGAAGGGAGACCAGGTAAGGACCCTATTTAAGTCCCCGGGATGGAGCACTAACGCCTTCGGGAGAAAAACCAATCCAAGAACTCAGAGATGATCTTTACAGCGGCCCTCCTCTTTCTGCTTGTCTGCAGTTTCAAAACACGAGTGTGATAAGAAATCACTGTTTATATTAGTGAATCTCAACTGGGTTCAATCATGACCTTTTCCTGAATCGAAGTAACTAACGGCTACCGTGTGCCAAACAAGTCCAGACTTCTGGGCGTCACGATGCAGAACCTCAGGGTAGCCGATGTGCAGTAGTTGGTCGTGGGGAAGAAAAGGTTTGCTGGGAGCTTGTATCTAAAGACAGCGGGGTGGGGGCTCCGAGGTGCGCGGGAGGTTTGCATTGCTTGGGGAGGGAACAGTGTTTGCTGGTAACAGCAGTTGTGCCTCCCTCCCTGGGTTAATAGGATGGCTTCTAGGGATGAGGCAGCGAAAGTCCCATGCCGAGGGCCAGGCACATAGTAGGTGTTCAAGAAGTGTCACTCGAGCCACACAGGCTGACACGCGCGCGGAATGCCGCTCTGCCGGAGCACCTCTGTTCAGGGCGCGCCCCGGGCTCGGGTGGACGCTGCATCCGGCGTCCAGCGTCAGGGCCGGGGGGCGGAGGGCGGAGGACCGGACCTATGCAGCCGGGGGACAGACCGACCAATGTCCAAGTTGCAGAGCGCCGAGAGACCCCGTGCGCTCAGCCGCGGGGTTGGGGTCAAGGCCGGGGCGGCGCGGGAGGGGTGGACGGACGCGGAGGGACGGGATGGGATGTGACGAGCGGCGCGCTGTGCATTGTGGGAATCCCGGGGCCGCGGCGACTGGTTCCAGTTCACTCGGCAGCGGAGCCGGGCGGAGGGGGCGAGCGCGGGGCGCGCGGGCGGGAAGCGAGGAGGCGGGCGGGCGGGCGGACCAGCGAGGAGCGCGGAGAGAAAAGGCGCGAGCGGCCCAGAGGGCACAGGCCGGACACCTTGCTGCTGCTGCTGCCGCCGCCGAGCCGCCTGTAAGTGCCGCGCGGGCCCCCTCGCCACGCGCCCCGTCCCCGCCGTCCGGGTCCGGCCGCCGCGCTCTTCCGGATGCGGGTGCCTGGGAGCGGCCGGGCCTGGCGCTCCCCTCCCGCCGCCCGGCTCGGCGCGGCCCACGCCGGAGCCTCGCGCGCACGGCGCTCTCCCAGGCCCTGCATGTGCGGTGCGGGATTCCCTTTGGTTTTGTTTAAAAAAGCAAACCCGGAAGCCAACTTCTCACAACCGCGTTCTCCTGCCCCGGCGCTTTTGTGGGAAGGAGACAGTTGGGGCCTCTCCCTCGGCGACCCTTTCCCGGGTGGACGGGCAGACGGCTGGGCCTGAGACCGGAGGAGGCCCCGCGGCGCTGGCTGGCTAGCCTGGGCGCCCAGGAGCGGTTTATGCGCGGAGTTGGACTTGGTGAGGCCACGCCGGCCCGCGAGTTGCTGGCCCCTTACAATAAGTCGGGCCCGAGACCCAGGTGGCCGCGGTGTAGGCTCCTGGCTCTGTATCTGCTGGGAGGGCAGGGCGGTGGGGTGGGGGATAGCCGCGGGACTGGAGCCAGGCCAAGGAGGGGTAGGGGCTGTCCATGGACTAGCTGGAGAGGGGCCGCGGAAACCCCTGCCGCTCTAGCTGAGCTCCTGATCGGCCTTTTGTTTGCTTTGTGGTTGGGAGGTATTTTTTTTTTCTTTTTTAAGGTGACTCCGGAAGACTGCAGGCTCCCAGGGTGGAGAAGGCCAGAAGAGACTCGCTGGGAGTGGGGTGGGGTGGGGTGGCGAGATGAGTACGCATGATGCTGCTGGCCTGGTCACCAGACAACAGGTGTGTGGATGGTGCGCCCCACCTCCACTCCTGCAGGGACCACAGATCATTCCAGGATCTTGTCAGTCGATTGCTTGGAAGGTTCTTTGAGATGACAAGATGTTAGGGAAAACGTTCCTGAGTTTGAAAGTGAGAGGCTTCTATAGAAACAGCTGAGACAGACCTTGAATTGGGTAATTACCATTACCATGAAGTCCTTGTAAGATTTTAATGATTCAATAAAGAGCATTTAAGAATAGACAATTAGAGGGGCACTCCTGCTAGCTTCTCTTTTTCAATTCCACCTTTGTGGTTTGAGGTTTTACCGTTCAAGAGTGGGGAAGTGCTTTGTTCTAAGGCTCCCTGCTCCAGGGACTTGGGGAATTTAGGTTTGAGTGGGAGGCCCCAGTTGTAAATTGGATGGAATCCACCTACTGCAGGCCACCTTTAGGGTACTGTCTGCTGTCAGGAGATACTAGCTCTGAAATGGGACACCTCATGCCTGCAACTGGAATTGATACCTCTTGTACACAACTAACCACAGTTGGGCAGTAGCATCTCCATCTTGCACAAGAGGCTCTCTGATGAGGAGAAATAGGTTTTTAAACCTATTTTCTTCCTTTTTAAAAAACCCTCAAGACTAAATTCTTCCCCCCTCTAGTTTTAGGAGAGTGGGAAATCTCCAGTCTGTTTTTGTTTCAATCTGTTACCACTGTTAATGGTTGTCAGGTTATCAAGGAGGAGGGAAGGAGTTCAAGTAAGTGAACATTGTTTGAGGCTGGATCTTTAGAATGAGGAAGGAATAGTTCACATTTTATTAAACTTTTGAGAGTTGTCTGGACCATCACATGTGACTCTAATACACCACCGTAAATCACTGGCTTGGTCTGTACCAAATGGGCCAGGGCCAGGGAGTGGTGCATCTCAGGCTGCCATTTCTTCTTGTCCTGGAGACAGCAGAACTTCGGCAGAGCTCTCATTCTTGCCCCAGAGAGACTTGGAGTACGTGTCTTCTAATACTTGCAGAGCTAATGCTGCCCCAAGTCATTTAAAGGAGATTTATTGAAATAAGGAAAAGAACAAACTGAAAACCCCAAGCTGACACAAAACCCAGCAATAATCCGTATGTTGTGTTAATCAGAACCGCAGCCTGTAGTTCTCGTTTGAGTGTGCCTTGTGTTGGGTTTTTCAGAACCTCGTTCTTGGCATATGGGCTGTGAAGGGGCAGGGGGTGAGTGGGGCTCATACCTGTCCTATGGGTCTTCCCCACGTTCTATAAGTTTAGAAGTGTATCAGGCCCCACCTCAGCTCTTATGAGTGAGCCTGAGTGGGTAAGCTCTTCATACCAAAGACTAGTATAGCTTTTTTGCTTGGCTCAAGCCTGCTAGCTCAGGTGAAGCTAGAGAACCTAACAGGTCAAATCACAGGGTCATGATCAGAAACACATTGAGGGATTTAGATTGTATCCTAAGAGCAGTAAGAAGCTGTTGAAGGCTCTGGGCAAGAGAGAGATGGTCAGGTGCTCTTTATTAGTATGGAGAACTCTTCCTTTAGTCAACAAATATTAAATGGCTTCTAGGTGCCAAGCCTGACCAGGGTCTTGCCCTATTGAAGCTCACATTTTAACTTGACCTTTGATGGTCTTCTATTGGAGTGGTTATCTTAGAGTTGGCAGAACCTTTAAAAGGAAGAAGGGGGCGCGAGGAAAGTTTCCTTGTGAAGCAGGCAGGCAGACAGTGCCTTTACTGTCGAAATACAGTGCCAGTTCCTTTGATGAAGCTGGGGGAGCACACCATGGAGAGGGTTTGCAGAAGTGAAATCTTAATCCCAGACTTCTTGCAAACTGTGTCCTGCTTGTGGTGAATAACACTTGTGTTGGGGTTTTGTTTTTTTCCCACCACTAAAATCCAACACATGAGGGATATATGTGTGCTAGAACAAAATGTGCAGTTTAGGATTTATTTCCTGTCTCAGTTTATCCTTCTCTCCCTGTTTGCAATCCCTTGATTCCCCGAAGGTGGACTCTCAGTTCTTTAATCATTCCTGCTCACTTTTTGATGCGGTGTTTTATGAATGGAGGGAGATGTTTTTCCTGATTGGCTAGAGTACCAGAGCAGGTTTCTGTTCTGAGCCAATCAGAGTGTAGCTTGTGAACCCCAGCTCTGTGAGTGATAGTTGTGTAGTATATCCACATGCCTCTGGGGATATGACAGCAGTGACACCGTTAATCATTTGGTATGATAGGAGTAAACGGAAGAGAATGCAGTAAATAGGATTAGTGTCCTACGCTTTAGAATTGTCTCAGGTTCGCCTTGATTGGATGTGATGGGAAGGTGACAAATGCATGTGGACATGTGGGCATTTATCCAGCTGCGGGGAAAGAATGGAGGAGTCCTCCCTCGGCAACAGTGGCTTGAGCACTGATAGCTCAGATGCCGTCATCCTCGGGCGCTGGAGATAGGGCTGGCTAGCAGCTCCGCAGAAGTTGCAATCAATATTTTGTTAAGGATCAATATACGTGCATTCATTGCTTAGATAATAGAAGACTTCATGATTGACCATTCCAGTGGTTTTGTAATTGCCCTGATTATTTAAGATTTTCTTTATGCTGCCGCTTTAACAGAAGTCAGTCTCTTACAGATGTGAGGAAGGTAAATATTTTCCTCAAGTCTGTTACTGTGCCAGTCTAGTGGTAAGAAAAGTCACGAGAGCCATAGAATTGTCAGGGAGTCGGAAGGCCTCAGCGTGGCGCCCACCTCACCCATCAAGGCAGTTGCAGTGTTCCTTTCCTGGGGATCCTCAAGGTAGCCCCATAAGCTCCCTGGATTTTGAAGTCTGGGCTCCCACAGGGATTGGCCAGGTATGTGTACATGAATGGTCCCTGAGAAGGTCCCTGATAGGTGTCCCATTTGCCACATCTCTGAGTCCTATAGCCTTTGGAAATGCTGCCCTCATCTTTGTTGAGAGAATCCCATCCACAGTAAATGCCAGCTAATCAGTCACCATCCAGCCCGCATTTGAGAGCCACCACGTAGCAGGAGGAATGGTGGGTTCTTGGAGATACAGTGAACAGAGCTGACTGGTCCGTCCCATCAAGACAGACAAGGAAATAGGCAGTGATAATACAGGGTAACAGGTGCTAAGGGTAGGGTAGTTGGCCTTAGAATGTTTATATAAATTGGATCTAGAGGGGCAATCAGATTGGAAGGAAGGCCTGGAAACCGTATTTGCATAGCACTTTAAATAAGATTGAGAAAAGCAATGGAACGTATTAAAGAATGGTGGCCGACCTAGGGACATTCTAAGGGACTTTTAGCTGGGCTCAGGGGCCACAGCAGGAATGTCCACCAAGGAAACTGGGAGCAGTTCAGCTTGCTAGAGCCCTGGTTGCTAGATGGGCTGGAGATCAGCAGGGCCTTGTGTGCATGGGGCTGCCCAAAACTAGACTGTGACTGGGGGGTCACAACGCAGGAATGCAGAGGAGAGAGCTCCTTGATGAGTCTGCATCACCAGGGAGGCATTGGGACCACTAGATAGGATGGTCCCAGACAGAAGGCTAGAGAGTGTTCCAGACTGAGCGAGTGGCATGTGCCGGAGGGTAGAGGTGGGAACGCAGGCTGTTGACAATGTGGTCAGGAGCCTGTTAGGGTGCCCCGTTGGGGAGGAGTCGAGCGGGGTGGTAGGGAGTGGGATGGCCCTTTGCCCTCCTCACCATTACGGCCCCTCCTTGTAGTAGAGGATTTGTGGTTTTCATGCCCATCTTATTCACAGGGTCCTCACAGCCAGGCTTCAAATTAGTCCTGTGCTATGAGGACAGATCACATTGTCCCGGTCACATCTCATTTGTTGAGGGGCTTGTGGTCAGAGACTGGCTTCTCAAGTCCGGCTCATCTCTGTACAGCCCCTCTACCACAGTGTGTCTCGGTAAGCTTTGGGTTTCTGCAAACAAGGCTCTTGTCCACTGTGATTGATTTATGGTTGGAGGACTTGTAGAGATAAAGACCACAGAGATCTCTTCAGGACCAACCACAGAATCTTCATTTCCTGCCCTGCCAACAGTCAGAAAGGCAGCCAAGCTAATGTACAGGAACATGACGAGATGAATGGATGCCCAGGTTGCCTGAACACCTATCACTCTCTTAAAGCATGTGGGGCCCTCGACCGGTGTATGTGTGTGTGTGGGGGAGCGGGGGGTGAGGGCTTCTGGTTTACTGAATGGGGTGTCCTGGATGATGAACCCAGGAAGGAAGGACACAGCTTTGTCAGTTTGACAAGATACTACAGCTGTTTCTCCTGTGAGCAGTGTCTGTGCCCAGAAGACAAGCTGAGTGCCTCAGAAGCCACTTTTTCTTTGATGTAGGACTGTCCATCTCTCAGAACGGGGTGCAGGATAGGGGTCAAAGAGGGCCCAGCAGGCTTGGGCTGGTCATTCAGACCCTGGCTTTAGAGTCAGCTTCCAAGTTGATTGGTCATGTGAGTGGGGCTGGCTGTTTCTTTTCTTCGAACAAATAGCTAGAGGACATTTCTCAACCTCTCTTATAATTAGGTGTGGCCACTTGCCCAAGTTCTAGTTGGTGGATCATGGTCAGAACTGTGTGCCTCACTTCCAGGCCTGGCCCCTGAAAACCTCCATGTGATCTCCTTAATGGCCTTTCCCCTTCTGTGGTAACCCTGGGAATTGTGCATGGAAGGATGGGAGGAGTCTGGATCTGTGAATCATCCTGTGCAGAAGCACGGGACAGTCGTGGAAACCCACTTTGGACTTTTCACAAGTGAGAAATAAGCTGTAGAGACTTACTTGTTATAGCAGTTAGCGCTACCCTCACCAGTACAAGTATCCAACACCAGTTTTTCAAGAAGGTGGCCTTTTTTTTTTATCTTATGTATAATACATTGTCATTTTTATTAACTTTACTGAGCATTTAGTGGGTGTCAGGCCCTTATATGCATGCTTTTATTCAATCCTTTGATGGTCATCCTATCATCATCTCTGCTTGACAGATGAGCAAATAGACTTAGAGGCGTTATATCATGTGCCCAAGGACACATAGGCAGTAAGCGGCAGGGCCATGACTTCAGTCAGGTCCGTTTGACTTTGGAATTCGAGTTATTAACCATAGTGCTCAACAGCCACTCTGTCACAGCCACTCTCTCTCCCCCACCTGGGTGCCTGGCCATCGCTGCCCGTATCTCCATGGCCCTCGGAAAAGCAGGATGGACCTGCACGTTCATGGGTTTATCTAGAGACTGCAAGCTACAAGGTGATTTTTCCCAAATGATGTCTTTAAAATCACCTCATTACCGGATGTCATGAAGTTGCATGGCTTAGCATTCTCATAGCGGTGGCTGCAACTTGGGGATCTAGCGTTAGAAATGCAGGAAGAACATGGAGAGGTGCCAGGGACAGAATCTCTGCAGGACATCCCACTTGGGGATGGGACAAAGACTCGGGGCTGAGAGGAGCCAGACTCAGAAGGTGTCCTTCATTCAGCAGAGTGGCACTTGAGGATTATGATGTTTTAGATCTCCCCTGGGACCCAGGGAGCTGGGGTGAGTTCACTACAGTGCCTGGCATCAGTTAGTTTGCAGTTCAGTCAAGCTGGGGAGGCAGGTACACAGATATGTGCTGGGATATGTGCTATGGGAACATGGAGCAGAGAGCAATTCAAGTCCATGGTCAGGTCCAAGAAGAGGGATCATGTGAGCACCAGTTCAGCAAGTTGGCAGGAGAACAAAGGGTGTTACAGGCAGGAGAAGCAGCATGTATGAAGACATTCTGGGCACAGCATAACAGGTAAGGAAGTTGAGGGCAGCCTCAGGCATCTGAGCCCAGGCAGGGGTGGCAGGAAACAGTGCTGCGGAAGTAGTTGAAGGATGCTGTTTGTGGCTGGCTCGGGGTGGTGGGGAACCAGCAAAGTGGGCAGAGATCCTCTGGTGTCCACGGAGAGAGACTGGTGCTGGGGAAATATGTGAGAAGAAGTAGAGCTGAACCAAGGTGAGGACGGTGAGGAGAAGGGAAGAGGCTTGAGAAGTTAGGGAGGTAGATTCAACATCTTGGCTAATGATTGGGTGCTGTGGAGGTGGGCAGAGAGGTAGGGGCCAGGTGGATTCCTGCTTGGTAGCTTGATGCATGGTGTTGCCACTGATGAGGCTGAGAAACCCAGAGAAGTTCAAGGTGCCCACAGGACTTACAAGTGGGCCCTTGCCGCAGGTAGTCGGAACAGAGCTCTGGGTTTCAGCAGCCAGGTATGAATGGGGCTGGAGCCTGGGAGTCACTAGCATGTGGATGATGTAAAGGCTCTTGGCTACAGTCAGGGGGAAGCACCAGAAGCATCATTTTTAAGGAATAAGTGTGTCTAGGACTCATCAGGTCCCCAAATGCTACTGGCTCCTCTCTGGGTCAGGACATTGTCCAATTCCCACAGAGGCAGCCCCAGCATACCCAGACAGGTCCTTGTGGAGATAGCTGACGTCTGTGCTCCAATGAGAACAGCTGAGCTGCATTAATCATCACTGACCACAGCCCTCTCCTGCTGAAAGACGGGAAACATTCAGATCTGAAAGCTGTTAGTCCAAAGGTGTTGGGTTGATCTGTGAAACACATTTGTAGTAAAGCAAAGGACTGCCAGGAAACCCAGTGACAGCTTTCCCTGCAAACACACATGTATACACATACCATTTCCTGCTCAGAGCACGGGTACCTGTTGGCAGCGGATATTTCAAAACGGAGCTCATTACAGCAAGAAGTGGAGCTAACTAATTGTTTCAGAACAACTGAGACCATTCTGGGACTCTCTTCACTTAGTGATCCACCAAGACTGGTGCCCCCTGACAGGGTGAAATACGGGGTTCTCATCCCAGGGGACTTCTGCCCCCTTCAACATCTTCAAGAACCAGGGCTTAAGCATCTTTGTTCTGTTGGGCCTGTCAGTACAGCTGCCCCCACAGTACCCAGGAACGCTGCTCTCTGCTGTTTTGGTCATCTCTGTCAGGCAGATGATTTGAAATTATCTTGGTGGGGGTCACACTGATGTTAGTTATGGACCATGGCAAATCCAAAATATAGGGTTGGGCATCAGAGTAACATGGACTACTGACTATGTGGCCTCCACGGTCAGAGGCATGGACTGTTGGGGCTGGAGGGTCCCACACACCATGGAGCCTGACCTCAGTTTACCAGTAAATGGAGACCTGCCCATTTGCTCCAAGGGTCTGAGCATAAACGTCCTCTAGGGAAGGCTTGCCTGGCGCCCCAGAATAGGCTAAGGCTTTATCAGCATCCCTCTCCTAGCACCCGGCACTGGCCTTTTGCCATTATCATGTAAATGCCATAGGGTTAGTTATTGTCTCTCTTCCCCATCAGCTCCAGGAGAACAGGGACCACAACTTGTCTTGTGCACTGCCGCCTCCATCCCTGAGCATAGCTCCTGAAGTGAATGCAGGATGACTTGAATGCTTTTAGCAAACATTTGAGACCTTACTGTGTGGTGCTATGCTAGAAACACAGAGGCGGCCTCAAGAGCCTGCACTCTGATGGGACAGATGGGAGCATGTGCACAGCATGGCTGCTGTGTGAGGCACATGGGAGCTCAGAGGATGGGACAGCTGATCCGAGCCCTCAGGGAAGGGTTGGCAGAGGGCAGAAGGCAAGTGTGAGGGCTAAGAGGAGATCCTGGCCAAAGAGCACAGCCACCACAGAGGGCGGCATTCAGGGGCGCCGTGGGTGACCATAAGAGGTACCCGGTAAAGCTGCATGGGTGTGCCAGGCCTAGATTTCCAGGGCATTTCATGACAGGCCAAGGGCCCTGACTTTATCTTGGGAATTGGGGCAGCCATGGAAAACTTTAAAACCAGGACCATGGCATATTCATATTTGTGGACAACAATGACCCTGCCTGTGGAGGGCAGTGGTAGGGAAACCCTTCCTGGAGCTGTTCGTGATCATTTGGTTAAGATACTGATGACCTGGACCCAGTCACAGTTGGGATGAAGAGGCGAGGACCCCACATGAGGTGTTGAAGAGGGGCAGCCTCGGGACCAAGTGGCATTGTGGATGGGGTTTGGGAGGAGGCGCAGGGAGGGAAAAACTCTTCTGTAAGGGCAGACCCGTCTGGCAGGCTGGCAGTGTTCAGAGGGTGTCGTATTCCAATCTGGCCACCCACTAAGCTCCCGCGAGCTGTTCCCGCCTCTCACAGATGAAGGATCATAAGGTAGAGATGCTGCCATCATCCAAGAACTTAGACATTTAGCTGTAGTGCTTCATTCTAGGGGCAGGTGACATAGTTTTCTTTTTTGAAGCCTTCAGCAAATCTATCAGTCCTGGTCTCAAGTCAATGAAAATGCAGTTATTAAGTGTATAGACTGTAGCCAAGAAATCCCATTTTCTTTTACATCATGCGGCATAAAGGCAAGACACTTAAGAGCAGTCATTGTCAGAGGAACCTTTCAATGGAAATGGCCAATGAAATTGATGTCATGGTATAAAATGGTGAAAAGCTGTCTCTTTGGGGCCACAGTGCACCAGCGGAGTGCGTGAGCTGGGCTCAGAGGGCTCGGTGGCCATAGGTGGTGGCATCTGCTGGCAGGACCTGTTTCTTTCAGCGGCCAGAGTGTAAGGGGAACGGGACGCTGTGCAGACTGCAGTGATCCTGACGGCTGTGCCTCTTGCCTTCACAGAGCGTGTACTGATCCAGCTCCACTAAGAAGAACACAGGGCCGCCGCCATGTCCAGCCGGGGTGGGAAGAAGAAGTCCACCAAAACCTCCCGGTCTGCCAAGGCAGGAGTCATCTTCCCCGTGGGGCGGATGCTGCGGTACATCAAGAAAGGCCACCCCAAGTATAGGATCGGAGTGGGGGCGCCTGTGTACATGGCCGCCGTCCTGGAGTACCTGACAGGTGAGTGCCCCAGTCAGCTGCCAACACCACCAGCTCCCAGTGCGGCGGCTTGGATGGCTTTCCAAGGATTGATAGGACTTTTTGATTCCTTTTAGTTGATAACTTTTTGAATCTACAGAAAAGGTACAGGAATAATACAGTGAACATTTTCATCGAGATTCACCAGTTAACATTTTGTCCCCCCCCCACCCTGTGTGTGTGTATATGCATGCACACGCATGTGTACATTTATTTTTGGCTGTCCTATATTATATGGTTTATTTTCAGATTTCCTCAATGATCCCAGTAATGTCCTTCATAAACTTGTTTGGCTTTCTTTCCCAAGTCAGGATCCGTTTCAGAATTAGACATTGCATTGGGCTCTCACGTCTCTTTAGTCTTATTTGATGTAAAACAATTCGCCAGCTTTTTAAAAATCTTTCATGACATGGACATTTTTGAAGAGTCCAGGCCAGTTGGTTGGCAGAGTGCCCCTTCCATCTGGGTTGGTCTCATGCTTGGACTCAGCTTGAACATTTGAGGAGGAGAACTGCATAAGTGATGTGGAGTCCTTCTCTGGAGTCATGTCAGGACGCACCTCATGCGGCTTTGCCCTGTCATTGGTCATGTTCGGTTTGGTCATTTGATTAAGGTGGTGTCTGCAGATTTCTGCACATCCTGAATCACAGTGTTTCACCCAGTGGCTTTAGCATCCCCTGACGATCTTACCGAATCTGTTATTACCATGGTGGTTATAAAACAGTGATTTTTCTACTTGTCATGTCTTCTGCATTTATTAAGTGGCATTCTTCTGTAATGAAGGACTTTCCATTTGTCCTTTTTATTTTTGTGCTATTAATGTTGGTTCATGGATTTTTAAAATTAGTGGGATATACACTATCTTGTTGTCATAATGAGATATCACTATGATGTCTCAAATTTGACCCTCCAACTGGTCCTTGTGTCCCTTTGCTGTGTCCCCATCAGTTTCTGTACATTTCCTTGCTTTCTGACATTATGAGATAGTCTGGTCTCACTCTGAACTTTCCCTGCCTCAGTCTTGGAATCAGCCATCTCTCTAGGGGGTCCTTGGAACCTTTCACAGATAGAATCTTATTAGTCTTATTGGTGGCACCACAGCAATTGTGGGAGGTCAGCTGGCAGGGATACCACCCCCATTTTTAGTGATGAGAAAACCATCCTCAAAGCATAAAAGGGCTTGCCTGGGGTTGCATGTAACCAGTAAGGACTTGAGAAGGGACCCACATCCTGCTGTCCTGTTGTCATGGTTTCACCACTTACTGCTCCATCAACCATCAGTGTAGGTAACAGGAGGAGGCACCCTTGATTCTTCACGAGACAGGGTCCCTCTTCCAAGGCGATACGGTCAGACATAAGGAAGAGCGAGATTGCTTCTTGCTCTCCAGGTCTTTCAATACGGCAAAACCAACAGTCATAATTGGTGTGTCATACCATGAATGAGGCATGATTCTTCTCACTATATAGACAAAGAAACAGAGGCCCAGAACTTATGTGACACACCCAGGCAAGTCATGCAAAACATTGGAGACCAAAGGAGACCAAAGGAGAAGTCACTAACTAGAAATCAGAGGCCATTTTCTAGTTTTGGCCTGGCAGTTTATATGCTGTGTGACCTACAATGAGCCATTTAACCTCTCTGGACCCCAATTTCCTGACAGCTCAAATGGAGACAATAGTCCACTCCACTAACTTCAGGCTGCTGGGAGAGCCACCGGGGCTTTGTTTGACCATAATGGGAATGCTAACACGATATGCAAACCCAGCCAGTTCGTGTTTCCGGTTCCCAAACACCATGATGCCCCATCACTGGGGTTTTCATAGACACTGTCATTAGGTCAAGTACAACATCAATTTCATTTCTTTCATCAAGCTTCTCCCTCTTTTTAGTTCGCAGGGCACAGGATGGGGAAATACCATTGCTCCATCATAGCTGAGGCAACTAGTATCTGTTCCACACAGAGAACCTGGATGTTTTCCTTGTCTGCCTGGCTGGCTCTGAAACTGAGCACAGTGCTCATGAGGTCACAGTCAGCGGGTTCATTCTCATGGGGGCCAAGACCTTGACCCTGTTTGTGCCACCCCTGTCATGCCTGTCCCTAGCTATCACAGGTGTGTGATAGTGGCCACAAAAGGGAGCGGGAATGGTCAGGAGAGCCCATCACTAGTGGTGGAAAGGCAGCTCACAGCAAATCCTTACTCTGGTGTTAGCCGCTGTATATTAAAGAATAATACATCTTTTTAAGTTTTACCAGGGCTATAGTTAGCTAAATCTGAACCGTTTTCTCTGGCTGCTTGCAGTGCTGAGCCATTGCCACAACTATTGCCTAATGCCAGCCCCCAAAACGGTGCCTGGCCTGTGTGACAGTTGCCTCGGGAGACGTCCTGAGCTGTTAGTGCTGTGCTCAGTCACTGCTGTGGTCACTTGTGTCCTATTGCCTGATGATGGGATACGAGCTGAGCGCTTGGGCCACGTCCAGTGAGAACGCTGTTGTGTTCTGCACTTTAGAACAATGCTGCACCCACACTGACTGCTCTCGGAAGGGGACCTGAGCCCCTTGGGCTGGGATGTGGGAGCATGTGGCTACTTGGAAGTCCTGGGCATCTGCCCACCCAGAGCCTTGGTTTAGGTTCTTGAGTGAGAAAGAAAGGCAGACGAGCTCTCTTTCTGTTCTGCTCTTTGCTTTTGTCTCACTGAAGACCCTTTCCCATTCGTTCCACATACTTATTGTGTACCTGCTGTGTGCCAGGTACCATGCTAGGTTCTGTATGAGAGCCCAGGAATGATGAGGGCAGAAATGGTCTCTGCTCCGTGGAGCTCATGGTCCACTTGGGAGGAAGAACTAGCCAACCCAGATCCCAGACGGTTACTGACTATGATACATGCCGCGGCGGGCATGGACACGCCAAGGGGGGTCGGGTGACTGGGGGCCTGGAGATGGACTGGCTCAGGAAGGCGTCTTGGAGGAGGGGACGCCACCTGGAACCTAGAGAAGAAGAGGGCGCCAAGCAGCCCTGAGAGAGCTGGGAGAGAGGCTCTGCCTTTTATTTGGCTTCAATGCACCTGCTGGGTGCCAGCCTCTTCCCAGAGCGTGGGGAAAATATGGAAAGAGGGCAGAGCCAGGGTACCAGCCCTTAAGCAGCTCAGGGCCTAGTCAAGAATGTGGCCCAGACATCACGCTCTAACACAAGGCATCTGAGGGAAGAGCCGCCCATTTAGCAGGTCCTCGCTGAGAGCTGTGATGTACCGGTCACTGGGCTATAAGCCAGAACAAGACCTATCCCCTGCCCAAGAGTTTTCTGCCCAGAGACAGGTCCAGGCAAGAGAAATGTGGTCATTGCAGGCTCGCATGTGCCGTGAGTGGGTGTCAGGAATCGTTTCCAGGAGGATGCTTGTTAGCCGGAGCTGCCCTGATCGTCCAGTTGTTACCTGCAGGGCCCTTTGGAGGGCTTGGTTTCCTGTGTGCAAGGCCCAGACTCTTCCAGGTGCCACACACAGCTGCAGGCATGGCGATCGGGGTATGCCACACAAGACTCCTTTGAAATGGCTGGACCAGGCCTCCTGCCTTCAGAAGGCCCCATAGAGAGATGACGAAGGGTCTGGATGCTCAGGTTCTTAGTAGGAGTGCTGGGCCTAGGTGGCTCTGGAGCAGGGAACTGACGTCTTGGTGGCCAGCCCTGGGGACCACTTGGAGTGCCATGATGTTCAGTGGGAGCCAGGTAGAGGCAGTGGGGCTCAGTGGTTAAGAGTGTGGACCTTGGTGTCAGAGCTGCCATGTCTTAGTCGTGGCCTTAGGCAAGTCACTCTTGCCTCTGAGCTGTGGTTTTCCTGTCTGTAAAATGGGGCTGACATGACTGTCTCATAGGGTTATTGCAGGCCGAAATGAAATGCATGTGAAGAGCCTTTCCATGCTGGCACAGTGTAAGTGCCCACATGCTAACTTACATTCGGTTTCAAACAGAGAGGGAGGAGTGCCCGGTCACCCTGCTCTGGCTGCCCAGGTGACAGGGTTGCCCACTTCCCTTAGGGATCTTGATGGGCGCTGTCACTGCGCACTCGTGGGTATTGTCCTTTCATTTGGTCAGAACCCACCGGGCCTCGCCGGGCACCTGCAGAATGTCTTGGCAGCTTCAGGCCTACTCCCTTCGGTCTTTTTAAAGCTACCACTTGACTCCTCCTAAAGGCTGTGTCACCCTCAACACCAAGATGCCCTGGTACCAAGCTCTTCTGTCTGGTGTCAAGGGCCACTTCTGTCCTGAGCTCCTGGCACATTCATGGGAACCTTCTCGAAGGAATTTCCAGTTAGCCAGCAGCCCAGGGCCTGTGTTAGGCCAGAGCCAAGGCCAGACCAGCATGTCTGAACAGGCTGCAGCCCTGTGGGCCGGGGGCCATCAGAGCCCCTAGAGCTCCCCATGAAGAGCATGTTTTCAGGGGTGAGGGATCACACAAGCACCCCTCCTTTGGGGCTGCCCCAGGCCAGGGTGGATGTGGGGAGGAGGTTGTAGCCTCGTGTCTTGCTCTGAAACGTAAAGCTGGTATCTGTTTCTCCTCTTGGGTACAGAGCCCAATCATCTGCCGAACTTAAAAGGAAAAGTCAACATCTGGAACAAGCTGGAGTCTGGTGATCAGACTGCTTCTTCTTCAGATCTCTGTGCGCCTGGCTCTGCAGCCCTGCCTGACTCTTCCCAGAGCTCTTTCTGAGGAATATGCTGCTGTCTGCTTGTCTTCTCAGTGCCCAGGACTGTCTGGGCCTCGCTCCGTTTTCTACCTCTCTGCCCTTGACCTTTCAGCCTAGGGGAATTACAGTAGCCCCACCTCTGGGCGTTGCTGTGAGGATTGATGATTGCATTTCAAGAATTTAGCCAGCATTCATAGTAAACATTCAAGAAACGATAGATAAAAATAAGTATTATCATGGAGAAATTGAGGCAGTTTCTTTGAGGTATCATCTTTGCCCCCATAGTACTGTGGTACTTTTTTC